CTGAAATAATTTTCTATCAGGAGAAGCACATTTCAAATATCTAGTAGCAGGCTTGAATGAAAGGGTCTCTGGAAAACCAAGACCACACCCACATCAGTTTTCTGGATTCTATCAAAAATATTTTGCAAACACTTTTATCTGATAGCGAAAAACATTTCTGAAAAAAATAAGATGTTCCCGAGTTCCCTACGACCTATCTTCAGCGAACTCTATTCATTCTACGCAGAATTCTGCAGGATAAGACTTTTTCGTATTCTACATCGATTTTCATACTTCTTGCCATATTTTACCCTATGGACTTTCTACTCTAAACCTACTCTAAGATTTTCAGGTTTTGGTATATCTCAGTATGAAGTTTTCTTGATTATGTTTCAGCATATTTTATTGACCTTCAATAATAATCAAACATAAAATTACATCACATTGCAAAAATTTCGTAAGAATAAAATGTCATTAACAATGTTGTCGCTCAATCCTTTCTTCTCTTTCAAAACACTCTCACTTGTACTGAAAATATGTTTTCATTTGTGGCTGAACTTGTCAGAATTTCCAATAGCCTTTTTCCAATACACTCAATTGTCTATAGTTCAATGATCATTTGTCCCAACAACCCAATAATGATTCTTCCTTACAAAAAACTCAATTTTGTTTTAACATAATGACCGACTTCTTCTGAATCAGAAAGATGTCAGAAATGTTTTCGAAGTTGTTTGCCAAAAACTCTTAACAATACGAACAACGCTCTAATTCTACTCTAAACATTTTTTTGTACCACCCTTACCCTACTACCCTGCAGACGGAAAACGTCTTTTTTAGGCCTCTCACACAACGATTATCGTTTGCGCCGAAGACAGGTTGTAGAGAGTTCGTAGAGTTGTTGCCGTTAAGGAAAAAAGTCAAAAATACTTCGTTTCTAAACTTTTTGCCTCCATGTTGTTTATTATAAATCTTACTGTTGTATTCAAACAACTATATGTCATTGGTTTTGTATTTATTGAATCAATATTATTTCTAACTGTTAATGATAAATGAGTTTTTCCCATATTTGTATTATTTGAAGACGCATCTTTCCAACTTGGTACACTAGAATATAAATTAATATATATGTCTAATGAAATATAAATAAATAAATAAATAAATAACTTACAAAGAATTTCTATTATCAATACCTAATGTATCACCATCCTGTAAATGTAATTGTGCTAATGTTTGTTTTTCTTCATCAGTTTTATA